TCCTGGAGTAACATCAAAACTATTTAGTTATAGGTATGCTTGCCATAGTTATAAAGAGTCTATAAAGCTTTGGCCCTTCTTCTCGACACTCGATAATATAATATTATGGTAATGTTCGCTATATTCAATGAATGGATCCACGTAGGCTTTTGGAGATATCAATGCATTTACAACAGCACAATAAAGCTTCTGGAGTCTTTTCTCATATGTGATCAACTGAAACACTGCAAAATTTGTAAGTTAATTTAGAACATGAGACGATAATGATCTAGACTCGGGATCTAGATTATAGTCGATTGTTTACAATTCTTTTGAAACATGTATTACGTTCCAAGGTTAGTTTCAACGTTCATTTCCTCTTTCTTGTCAAAAGTTTCTTTTTAAGACTGCAGCCTGCGTCGAGGCCGAAGGAGCCATTTCCAAATGTTCGAGACCTCCTGGTCTCCAAGTAATTCTCCCCACCCCTCCCCCTACCAAAAGCGCTGTGTAATACCAAGGTGCTGGCCAAAAGGATCGCGGCCTCTGGAATCGTGATCACGTGTGGCGTGTTCTCGGATAATCAGACAAAACAAACTGAAAATGGCGGCCACCACGCAGAATGATGTGGTAGCAGCAGTCGAACATGAAATCAGTTGTCCCGTCTGCTTGGACNCAATATAATGACATAACCACCCAATATAATAAAAAAAAGTATCATAAGACAGTTCTGGCGTTCCATAAATATTCGCTATATTCAATGAATGGATCCACGTACGCTTTTGGAGATATCGATGCATTTACAACAGCACAATAAAGCTTCTGCAATCTTTTCTCATATGTGAACAATTGGAACACTGTAAAATTCGTAAGCTTTCTTAGAACATGAGACGATGATGATCTAGAACCGGGGATCTAGATTAAATAGTCGATTTTTTACAGTTCCTTTGAAACACGTATTATGTTCCAAGGTTAGTTTCAACGTTCATTTCCTCTTTTTTGTCAAGTTTCTGTTAAGACTGCAGCCTGCGTCGAGGCCGAAGGAGCCATTTCCAAATGTTCGAGAACTCCTGGTCTCCTTGTAATTCTCCCCACCTCTCCCCTTACCAAAAGCGCTCTATAATCTCAAGGTGCTGGCCAAAAGGATCGCGGCCTCTGGAATCCTGATCACGTGTGGCGTGTTCTCGGATAATCAGACAAAGCAAACTGAAAATGGCGGCTTCGATACAGAATGATGTGGTAGCAGCAGTCGAACATGAAATCAGTTGTCCCGTCTGTTTGGACGATTTTGAAGAGCCTAAATGTCTTCCAAACTGTGCTCATAACGTGTGTCAACATTGTCTTGAGGGGATGGTGAAGAAGAGGCAGAGTTCGATCGAGTGCCCAGTGTGTCGAATTGAGTCTGTGATTCCGAATGGCGGAGTCGCTGCTTTCCCAAAGAATCATCTGCTGGTTCGTTTGATAGAGCGCACGCCTGGACGAAAGGAAAAAGAAGCTATCAAAGAAGCCCTGAAAAACTGTAAAGGTAAATTAGAAGGCGCTGAAACCGCTCTGAAAGAAATGGAAGATCGTTACGAGACTTCCAGAAGCCAAGCTGAACAGATCAAGCAGAATATAAAATCGATGGCAGAAAATGTTGTCACCATGGTGCGAGAACAAGAAACACAGATGCTCTGTGAGATAGATCAGAAACTGAGTCAGAATCGCAACGAAGGAACGTTTGAAATGCATAAATCCAACACCTCAGGGTTATGTGAAAATGCCTCCAGTTGTATCCAAACTGTAGAAGACATTCTGCAAAATGGTGTAGTCAGTGATCTTAAAGATCTCAAAGAAGCCTTGATCGAGGAGTTAAACGAATTCTCCGAGTCTTTGGAATCACGGATTTTTTGGGCAAACTGTGAATTTACCCATCCATTTGATGTTTCACTGGCAAACACAGAATCTGTTGACAAGTTCATTCAGGAGAAGTGTTTGTTAGGTAACCTTACCATAAATACAGACTCTGCATCAGTACCTGAAGACATCCCTACAGCTTCTGCTTTCTCGGGTTTGTGTATAGGCACACCCGTTATTCAGAAAAGCATAGACTACTCAATGTGTGGATCATTGATTCAAACTGTGGACAGCTCTTCTCTTGGTGTAGCAAATTTTACCCCCTTTTCTGTGGCAGTGTCCAGAAGTTCTGGTCATTTTGTGGCACTAGATGAGGAAATGAAACATGTTCACATCTTTAATGAGGAGGGAGAACCCTTGAAGAAATTCCGCATCATGTATGGTGATCTGTGGGACATTGGAGTTTCAAATGACGACGAGATAGTCGTTTTAAATCGAGAAAGCAACCGTGTTTTACATTATGACATGAATGGAAACTTCAGGAAAAAATTTGTGACTGCTCCTAAAGAAAATGTCAAGTTTACATCTTTATCTGTTGATATTCATGGACGTTTTATCATCTCGTCCAGCCCATGCTATGCGGAAACCCAAGAGGACACCATGCCCCACATTCTTGTCTACAATCCCTCAGGGAAACTAACGTTGTCATTTGGAGATGACAGACTATCGTCTCCAGAAAAGGCAGTGTTTCTGAATGGCAAATTCTTTGTGGTGGATCATGGTGGTGAATGCATTATGGTTTTTGATAAAAGTGGAGATTTTCTTGAAGAAATTGGAAAGGGTCGCCTGGAGCATCCGTGTAGTATTGCAGCTGATTATACTAATGGAAGCCTTGCTGTGAGTGACCGTGGAAATTCCACAATACAGATTTACAGTCAAGATGGG